TTTTCAGCTTCCGCATTTGCAGCCTCAACTTTCTTACTGCAACGAATCTCATGCACTTGTAGCCCGGCTTCGTTTGGGAAACTGCAAATAGGTAATAGTGTTTCAATACATGATGTCATAGGATCGCGATGTGTAAACACTAGGTGGGCTCTTACGTCAAAAGGCAGAACGAACACGTCGGCAGCGATTCCTGCTTTATATTTCTATTAATTGGAAGACCCGAAGTCAAACTTCCACCAAATGCAGCTTTTGCGCTCTAAAAAAACCATAAAATGTTGATTAGCTCCCTTTTGAGAAAAATTTAGAACTTACAAGAAGCGGTTCATAGTGCGACTGACTACGACTGCTTGACTGCAACATGCGATGATCTCGGATACCAGGAGACGTTCGAGTTGACCCTGAACAAACTGAATTTGGAGCTCATGCATCTGTTTCAACAGCAGTTAGCAAGTTTGCACATCCAAGATGGCCAACTTCTTCAACGACAAAAAACCATCGATAACAAATTTTTTTTTCAGAAATTCACCGACAAGCTTGAGTGCCGATGTTACTAGGGCAGAGTGTGAATGTAACAAACAGGTCCGCCAATAACAAAGCGGTCGCGAACTAAACATCATTTCCGCGCAAAAAAAAACGTTTGCACAAAGTCTTCTAGTGCTATTCACGTCTCGAATGATTGTTCAATGAAAAGTGGAAGTTACATGAATGTGAGATGAGCTTTCACTCACCATACTCACCGCCGCTATTGCTATCATGATCAATGGACGACTGGCCTCCAGCCTGTCGATGATAAGGTCTTCGTTTCAATAAGGTCTGAAAATGTGCATTCTGAAAGACTCAAGAATGCTCATTTGTCATACATCATAGGCCTTGCTCAATCGTAAAATCAAAGGGTATATTTTTTTCGCGGGTTCGGAATATATGTTCGACTTAACATGTGATAAGGGATGAAAATGTACATGAAAGATTTTAGAAGCGCCTTTAATGTACTATCGTAAGCCCATTAAATCGTATGCGAATTAATTTCTCATATACCCTCGGGCTGCTAAGCCATAAAAATAAATTGATTATAACACCTGTACCTCTGACAAATATCACTAAATCATGACTAATCTAGCCAATTTGCGCTACTACTCACAAGGATGCACATACACATTCGCGTGGCAACGGATAAAAGAATCGTGGGAGCTCTTCTCTAGCGTGAGAAGTTTTCGGAAAGGTTAGACATTCTCAACGAATTCTTACAAATTACATTTCGCGATGAAACTTATGAAACAAGAATTTAATCATCATTATTTTGTTTTGTTGCCGTTTCGGTCTTGATTTTACAAGACACATGAGCATTTGCGTGACCCAACCATGGCTAAATTCATTTTCCACTATTTCATCCTTCCACCGATGACAAAGCAAAGTCCGTTCAGGAACGACAGAATTAGGCTGAAGAAAGCAAGGCAAGCAAGGAAGGCATTTTTAATGAGATCATTATAAATTACGAATTGGAAAGAAAGTATGGTAAAGTCGTAATTACGCTATGATTGGTAAAGCACCTAACAGATGCCATTATGAAAAGCTACCTGATGAGGTTGTACTATGGCTTCATTTTCACTGATGAGCCGTGAGATTTTCTCTTCTACCGACTCTACGTCAACACTGCCGCTAGCGCCAGCAGCCAGATTTCTTGTTGTCGCCGTAGAAGTCCGATCATGATGGTGCGGGACGTGCTGCGCGTGACTACCGGTCGCAACCTGATGATTCCAAAAATAAGTTTCCCGCTAAACTATATGCCAACGGACACAGATTACATACATCTTATCATTGATAAGAGGTTTTTTTTTGCTTGTGAAGTAAGTGGAAGTTGTGCTATGATTACGAATATAAATTTGCAACTAAAACTAAAAACCATTATCGCTGCTGATCGCAGCACACCAACCGTACTAAAAAGAAAAAACCTTGTACCCCTCGCTGAACGCATGCAGTGTAGTGTAAAAACATAGAACGGACGTCCA